CTCCCAGAGCCTCGGGGTGTCCTGGTTGCCACCGTTGTCACTGCACCGACCACCTCCACGCCCCTAAAGCAGTTTTGGAGGGGCAGCACATCCTCCTGTAATAGCCAAAGACACCCGGTGAGGTCTTCTCCACCTCTTTTCCCCAAATATCTCAAATGCCCCAAAAGTCCACCAGAAGCACCCCACTGCAGTTCAGCCCCTCTTTCACCCACACCCACACCTCGGAAAAGGTTTGAAAGGCTGAAAACTGCATCATCAGCCACCTCTCGGATGTATTGAATGTTTCAAAGCGGTGAACATAAATAACAGTTGTTGGTTTTTTTGTTCTTTTTTTCATGTTGGAATATTTATATCTGCCTTTTGCAGCGGGCCACAACTTACCATCTCCAGCAAAAAAGATTAAAAAGTAATGCAAAAGATGTAGTTCATGAAGTTATTTGCACTTGATTAAAAGAAAAAAAATGTATCTGAACTTTGTAAAAAGAAATGTTTGCATTTTGTATTGTCTTTTTTTAATTATTAAATGGAATTTCTTGGTGTTGTGTTGATCTTTCAGAAACTGGCTCTGACGCTTATTTTAAAGGTTTCTAACAGCAGGATCCAAAGCCATTTTCATTGTTTTGTTCCCTTGGATGCTAGGACAAGCTCGGGCCATTAGGAGAGTTGTTTTTCCAGAAGCTTAAATCCTACACGCTTCCATAAGCTCACCAGTCATTACCCCATGTTTTTATTTATATACATTAAGTAGATGCAACCTATCTCATTTTTAGCCTAGAACAGAGTCAGACACGGGCTAGCTAAGAGGGGATGGAAAACACCCTTCACCTTGGCCCCAAGCCCCTCGCTGAGCTGCAGCTCAACACCTCCCAGCACCCTCCACTCCTCTGGGTCCTGTGGGTAACTGGGACCAGCTGCAAGATGCCCGTTAACTCCTCATGAGCTGCTGCTGGGCAGGATCCCCCAGCCCCAGTCATTGGTTGTGGTGTGGGGCAGCAGAAACCTATAAATACAAGAGCCCCCCAGAACAAGGAGGCTGCTGGCACAGGGTGACTTCAGGCAACTGCAGCACCAGGTAAGGGTCCCCTCTGTGGGCAAGCTGGGGGACCTTGGGGCTACCACGCATCTGGCGAGCAGTCGCACTACGCCGCCACTACGCCATGGTAACCAGTGCCCTTTTGCTTGTTGTGGGAAGTGAGCAGAGCTGTTCCACCTCCCCGCCCTGCTCTGACCGCAGGATGCCCAGGCTCCTTCCCTCAAAAGCTCTGACAAGAGTCAGATGTTCCAACCTGAATTCGTGTCCCCACCATGGGGCACGATCCCTACTCATGACATGAATGCTGAACACAGCATTGGAGACCTTTCTTGCCGCAAGGGCGCGAGTAGTTCTTTAGGCACGATCCCTACTCATGACATGAATGCTGAACACAGCATTGGAGACCTTTCTTGCCGCAAGGGCGCGAGTAGTTCTTTAGGCACGATCCCTACTCATGACATGAATGCTGAACACAGCATTGGAGACCTTTCTTGCCGCAAGGGCGCGAGTAGTTCTTTAGCAAACTCTTCCCAACAAGCTTTTGAGGAATACAACCAAACACACGGCTGTAGGGTGTCCTAAAAGTTTATTGCTGCCCAATTAATACAGGCGCTGGGGCTTCCCCATGGTGCTCTTGATATACAAAGCACGCACGTTCTGCCAGTTCTTCTTCAGCAAGGACACCAGAAAGTTGATGGCCAGGTGGATGTTGTAGACAAGTTCGTCCTCTGTCATCTTCACGTGACCGACAGCCACAGCCAGACAGAGCACCTGGGGGACAAGGACACCAGCATCACTCATGCAGGTAGAGGTTTTGCAGGGAAATTAAAGATTACAGTTAAACGATTGACAGAACAGCCCAGCCCTTATCTAAACTCATCAGGGCATCAAATTATCTCGTGTTCTGTCAGCTGGATGTGACTTCTCCAGCTTATTCGTGGGTGTTTCCAGAGAGCTCCTTGTAGCTGGCATGTGGCTCCCATGAATGTGTCTGGCAGCATCTGGATGCCACCTCTGAACAGCAGCAAGGCTCAGAGTGCACAGCTGACCTAGAGAAGGCAGGGAGCACCGCTGCCTCCCAGAGATGGGCAAACCGGGAAGGACATGCAACGAGCTGTGCTGGAGCGGGAGCAGACCTCGGGTTTAACTCGGCTCCCACACCCTGCTCGTTAGGCAGCGCTGGCATGTGCCCTGCAAACCGCTAACACAGCGCAGTACAGATGATTAGCTCCAAACTTGACTGCTAAGCATGGCGCCAGCTTCACTTTTTGTTTTGGGCACCAGCCCTTTCTTTCTTGTGCATAACACAGAGGCCAAGCCTCTGCCTGCCAGCCTCACTGAGAAGCTTGTAAGGGAATGTTCCCCACAGGCTGAAGACAAAAGGATTTACGAGCGAGCTGACAGGCCAAGTGTCAGGACATCATTAGCTCAGTTACTTAAAATGCCTGAGCATTTGCAAACTATCACATTTG